GAACCACACCAGTCAGCCATGCTATGAGCCAGCGGAGAGCGGTCAGGCGCTGACAGGATTGAGGGGAAAATCTATGATTACGCGGGGGTTGGAAGCTTATAAATGTACTAATGCCGTTAGATTGACATACACTCTCTCCCAACCCATACAACTTCCACCCCTCAATTTCTAACCCCCGAAAATTTGTTAGCAAAGATGATCAAGAGCCTCTGACACATCATAAATAAAGTTTGAGCGATTTTTACTCATTTTATTTTTGCCTGTAGCTTCGCCGTCATTGGATTAATTTTCATAAACTATACAGCTTTCTCGCTCTAAGCACAGTAATAATCTTGTGACAAAATTTTATCAAAATCCGAATGGCACATTTCTGGTTATAGAGTGTCCAATAACTAGCGGACAGACATACAGTCCGACGGAAATGAGGCACATGGTTTTTCGAGATGTACATGTCATATGACATCCAAAAAACGTAATCTCATTTTCCAATTTTTTCGCGATGACCTCCTCGCCACTGGCGTGGGAAGTAAAACACAAATGGTCAATGCGTTGCTTGAGTGTTGAGTGCCGGTCAGGAAACGATGTCTCCTTGGAATTTTAACAAATAATAACGCTTGAAGTCATCAAGATTTCAGTTTCAAGGAGCCTTATAGAATAGCGACTTCAACTATCCGAACATTGTCATTACTAGGCTAGTCATCAGCATTATCACTGATCTCATATCTTTTATTCTGATAGAAAGCATGACGAACAATTAACTTGGATGGTCACTGGGCACTTCATCAGCAACGGAGCCCGAAAAAGATTGAGTGTCGTAAAAAGTTTATTTCTCAGAGCTTACGTTTTAGTAGCAGTATTTTATTTGTGGTGTCGTAAAACCTCCGGTTTGAAGAGAAGCGCCGAGTGCAGTTTATCTATGTTCAACTAATCGAGATGGCTAGGTTTATTTTGATTACTTGTGTAGCTTCAACTTGGAATAATTCGTAGCAACAATGACACTATTTAAAAATTTGGGGTGGGAGCCATTCTGAAATATTCTTTAAAATGGAATAGGAGGCCATATACAGAGGTGTCCTGAAGGTTGTCCTTTTAAGACACAACTAGCTTCGAAATAACAAAAGTAAAAAACAGCACCGAAGACGTAAAAAATTAATTAATTCCTACCCGATAAGGAACATAAGATAATATTTGGAAATAGTGCTCAATTAAAAAAGAAGAGTTTGTTTACTTCTTCCTAAATTTGCAACATTTGGGGCTGCCTTCTACTACGTCCACCCAGATTGCTTTTGCACGATATAAACAAACCGATGCAGCTCTGATGGAAACATCGAGGACCACGTTCTAAATACAGTCGCGGAGTAACAATGCGACTTGTTTATGTACTAGGTTAACCTACACACCGCGTGGCAGATTTGGATACTGATAGTACCACAATACATCATATCTGTTCACGGTCGAGAAGGAGGAAGATGAGGAAGATGACGAGGAAGAGGGGGAGGAGGAAGAGGAAGAAGAGGAGGAGGAGGATGATGAGAAGGAGGAGAGGGAGGGGAAGGGGAGGAGGAGGAGGGGGGAGGAGAAGGAGAAGGAGAATGAGAAGGAAAAGGAAAAGGAAAAGGAAAAGGAAAAGGAAAAGGAAAAGGAAAAGGAAAAGGAAAAGGAAAAGGAAAAGGAAAAGGAGAAGGAGAAGGAGAAGGAGAATGAGAAGGAGGAGAAGGAGAAGGAGAAGGAGAAGGAGAAGGAGAAGGAGACGGAGAAGGAGAAGGAGAAGGAGAAGGAGAAGGAGAAGGAGAAGGAGAAGGAGAAGGAGAAGGAGAAGGAGAAGGAGAAGGAGAAGGAGAAGGAGAAGGAGAAGGAGAATGAGAGGAGAAGTGCGGCAATCTGACAGCAATATATGAAAGTATATCTGGTATAGCAAATATGTGTTGACGAGCCAAACTAAAAATATTATCGTATGTTGCTGGCTAATCTAATAATATTGCGCGAAAGGACATATAACATTCGTAGCGTTGTTTGAGATGTCTGTCTATAGAATGTATAATCTTATGCTGAATCTCATCGATACAAATTTGATTCTATTTCAAGCATTCATCCTACGGGTAGTAGTACAATCTAAAAAAAAACAAATCAATCTTCAATCATTGTATTTAATAGGAATTTTGAAATAACTTTTTAAGTAGACAAGATATATCCAAATACTATCTAACTTGTAACGGGGTCCTCCCTCCATACACCATGATAATGATAATATATTTACTTTCTATGACATATGTATGAAGTGATAACGTCTAGTAACTAGTACTTTATATGTATTGTTCTTTATAGCGCGAATAAAATTGTACTGAACTAAGCACGAAACAACGTATTTTATTGTGATTGTATTCAACCGTAGTAAACCAATACAAATATTTGAGTACCAACATGTTTGTCACGCGTAGATATATTTAAATTTCGAGAATCCTGTGTAATATTATCATGTATATTTTTATCATTCAATTCAGGATTCGAAACTTACGGGGGTGCAACTACAACTGATCCCCCAGTTATCTTTCGATTGCTTAAAAATACCCCAGAGGATGTCGGTTGCTCCTACAGGATCAAGTATATTGACTCTATACCTCCCCCGCATTCTGAAAAACCTCTGTACATGTAATGCAATGGCATCAAAAAGTCGTAGGTTTTGTCAGAACAAGTAATGCACTATTTGGGCTTTTCATGAAAAAAGTTTTCTCATATTGCAGCAATGAGCGTATCTCTTTGGAACCCTGGAGTAAAAATACTCAACAAGTTTGATAACTGATTACAATCAGCTCTCGATTAATGCATATGGAATCATATAACATCTTCGAATTACACTCTAAACGTAACGCTCATATATATATATATATAATCGTCCTCGCGGTGCTTATATATATATATATATAGGGTGACTTCGAAGTTGAGTCATTTATTTTAACAGTGAGTAGATCTGATCAAAAGAAATGTTTTTTCCTTTAACATTTTTCTGGTAAAATTAAAGTAACAAAGTTATAGCCCTTTAGAAGTTTGAGTACCGCCCTGTCTCAATAATAATATTATGTGCTCGTGTTTGGCAACAACGGATATAATCCGCCTTATCCGTTCATCGCATCGGAAACAAAAAAGCGGAAGAATTTGAAACGATGTTTTTACCACAATGTACAATTTTATTCAGTTGTATTCAGTCGATGTGTCAGTCGGTAACGCGTGAGTGAATAGTGGTGTTTGTTGCGTGGCTCAAACGAAATAAAAAATGGCACATGTTTACGAAAATTCTGAATGTAGTACAAAGGGCTCGTGAATCAGGTGACTTAAGACCTCACAGGGGAGGGCATGCCGGTGCTCCAAGACCGCACGATCAAATACAGGTCCGCACTGAAATACTTGTCGGGAGGATACTTTATAAAACAAGGTAATATTTTTTTATTTTTTTTTATTTTTACACACATATTTTGGTTTATCTTCCTTCTAAAATCATTATCTGAAAATTAATGACTCAACTTCAAAGTCACCCTGTATAACCCGACGAAGCAACGCATGTGCGACAGATATGTGATCTGTCTGCTGAATATTATACATAAAAATAAGTTTTAAGGGCAAATGTACGGAGAAATCTATGATGTGTGACGTTTTTTATTTTATTTGTAACATTGTGTAAACATTACATCCAAGCCCACTCAGTATTTTACAAGTTATAGGCGGTGAAAGGCTTAGCGGACAGATCGACAGACAGACCGATGGAAATGGAATGGACTCTAACCGGAACCATTAGTCGCTTTGCAAGTTCAGACTCTGCCCGTGATAAAATATTCTGAGGCACCTTGTAGTTAAAAGAGCACACTAATACAATAGACTTATCTAAGAAAACACATTGTTCAATTTCAAATAATACAGTAGCGATTCAAGCATGTCTGTGAAATGTACGAATGAAAATGACAGAGGAAGATAAGGGGAAAGCATGGCCGCAAATTGTTGCAATACTCTTGGGTATGTTAATTTAAAATATGTTACATGATCGCTAAACCCTCAGCAATTACCCATATTTATCACTCAGAAGTAGGTACCTTGTAGTTTTATGTGAAGTATACCCGACGACGCAAAATCCTACTATAACTCGAAAAGTTATGCTCACGCGATCGAATCTCATACGCCTTTGCAAATTACGTTACTAGGTGACAAATGTTCCGCCTTTAGGAAGGAAATGCATTGTATTAGAGTATTTTCTTATGTACTTGGAATATTTCCTTAATATTTTTTGCGTTTGATTTTACATGATAATTTTGGTATTATATAGACTGTTTTATTAAAATTTTGTTTTGCAAAATCATTACATTACCTTCATAAAGTTATCACATTTGAAAGTTACGAGTATAATAGACAAGTTGGAAAGTTCTAAATAACTTCAGACTTAATAAAAAAAATTACGTCTGTAGCTTTTTGAATTAAAATTTGTTTAGAGCTCCGAATATAGGGACTTACTTTTTATTGAAGAAAATTGGATTCAAATAATCGTGAGAAATTATTATGTTAACCCTTTATAGAGAAAAAGAATAGAGAACAAGATACAGAGTATACAGTGTTTCAGAAAGGTGTGCCAATATTTCTAGGGTAGAAAGTACATCTAAAAATAACAACAAGTTTCCTTAAATTCGGGTTTAAAGATACTCCACTACCAAGATACAAGGTCTAAAAAGAGAATCCTGGCGTGGCTAAGTCCTTTAACGATTTTAAATAATGTTTGCGTTGAAATTGTCGAAAATATGTTCGAGTTCATTACATATTTAATTAGAGATTAGTGAATTTGTGTGGCTGATAACACTTCAGAGCCTTTTGTTCGCAAACTTGTTTGTTCTTTGGAAAGCGCTAATTGAAAATGTCTTTCCTAATCCTGTTGTAGTTGCTTGAAAAACCCCCCACTGTACACCATAATTCACTGTTTTTAGGTATATTTCACACACAGACTGATTTCGAACATACCAGATAACAAAACTAATCACAAGTTACGTGCTAAAGCGCCACATAAAACTGTACATTTGTCAACCGTCTCCGCGTATTTGTGTCACGGAGTGACGCCACGCGTGCGAAATAGGTATATAGTCCGATCGCATGATCATGGTTTATCTTCGCGAGTAATAATAGTCATGAACGTGCAAAAACGTCTTCATGGACGATATAGGAAAATGTCGCAGTCCAGCTAAAGCTAATTACATGTCGTGAAAAGCAATGGCTTCAAATGCGGGCACAGGTACGACAACAGTGTGTATAGGATTGCTAAGCTGTTCAAATAAAAAAAATTTCTACTGCTGGACAACTGGAAAGGACCCCATGCCTAAGACTGAATTTTTTTTAATAAAATGGTACAAATTGCTGTATCTTGGTGCTAAAACTATTTTGTTAGACCTCAATCATGGATACGTGCTTCCCCATAAAGGTATACCACCCCCCCCCTCTCCTGCGTGATCAAGTCACGTTTCTAAATCACTCGTATCAGAAAGTGACGATATCAGATATTACATACATTGATAAATAACAATATGGGCCAGATGTAAGTCTGATACTTTACACTGTAAAATTTGCAGGGTGCTTGATATCTCTTCAAAATGGTCTCCATTTCGGTTGGACGTCTCCATTCTTCGTAGAGCTGACAAATGACAAAGAACACTACGACATCACCGAAGAGCAGGCTTCAGTATTCACCACGCTGCCCCCTATAGTTACAATTTTGTCATGCCCTCTAGTCACCTGGATGTGCAATGCGGTAGGGCGGAAGACCACCCTTCTTGCAGGTGCTGTACCTTTCATTTTATCCTGGGTTTTGGAGGTGTTCGCTACAGATGTGTATACGTTTTATATAGCCAGGTAACCATTAAAAGGTTTAAGGGTGGATTTCACCAGGATTGTCAAATCAACAGTCCGATATTCTCCACCTATCGGGATTTTTCGGTATTTTTACCGATAACATCATTCTCCACGATTTTTCAAAATTTAAATATTTCTAAACTTGCCGAAAAACAGCTGAAACCAAAAATAAAGCTAAAAGTTTATTTTATGTAGTCTTCATAGTTTTATGCCCATATTAATCATACATATGCATACACACTCAGGCACTCGGGCACATGAGAGGCGTAGATTACCTCATCAACCTGTCTGTTTTCAAAATAAATATTTCATTAAAATGAGAAAAATATTCACAATCCTATAAGCAAGAATCGAAAAAGGAGTTTCCAAAATGGTTGAAAAGCACTTTGAAAGAGCGACCAGTATGCAGATTGTAGAAGTTGTAATATACAACTATGCAATCAAAAAACATGTTGTGTGCGCGCCCAATACAAGAACAGACGTTTTTCATGACTCAAAGGTCCTTGATCTACCACTGATCTTGGGACGGCATTTACCTTAAACCGAATTCAACGACACTATTTACCGATTCCGTTTTTTTTGCCGGTTAGGCAACAATGCAGATGTGCAGATCACTGTAAAAGCAACTGATATCCCAGACGTGTTGTAATAATAGAAATAATAAGAAAATATAACAATGTTTGGAGATATATTTTCATAAATAGGTATATTTGATTCTGACTTATAATATCTAGACGATGAATAATAGGTGGATGGGGATACTTTTACAAATATCGATGTTTTAGGACCCAGAAATGCAGAATAAGCTGTTTGTTTACATTTGGTGTGGATTTCTAGATCATAAATTCGCAAAAATTGTTTTTGATGCAACAATAGATGAACCAGTTGGAATACGTTTTATATATATATTTTTTTGCAAAATAACAAAAATCGGTACATTTCTACAGGTACCTACGTATTATGTACAACACCTTGTACGTGATATACAGACAAAACTAGATTGCCATGCATGAACAGTCGCGAAAAACAGTGAAAGCATCCTACTAAATATAATAGCTAGAAAATCTACCTATTATTTCTCTCATTTTCATTTTTCCATTTAAAGTCAAATATTAATGTTGGTGAAATTGGCCCTAAAACTGCTACAGTAACCAGTATTTAGTTCAATGATTGTCAATTTTCAGCTTCAATACTTAGATTAGAGAAAAATACCGAAGATGATAAAAAAAGCTCACAACAACAATCAAATTGAAATGGACACTTTCGGATTCTTAAGCAATTCATCAGTGTAGTGTAGGTCTAGTAGTTAGGACCGATAAACGGAAAGCAAATAATTGAGCCGGTAGCGTAGGGTCTTACGTCATCTTTCATTGTATGGAATGAAGACGAAGATCAAGTTGATGAAGCATCCGTAGATGAAGATTATCAGATTTTTCACCTACCTCCGTACAACAATCGAATTCCCCGTTTTAGGGCAAATATTTGGAAAATTTCAAGATGGCGGCTGCGTGCCTTGGAACATTCTTCTAAATAGACTGGGGAGTCATTTGATAGGTCATTCAAAGATTATTGTGGCTACTATATGACCCTAGAATATAAAATCTCTATCCTTTAAAACAGAAGTTTGGTAGACTGCCAAAAAGCATCTTTTTACATTGAATATCGTTTCGTTTACAACTCGAAAACCAATCATCAAAACGTGATAGTGTAATACCAATCTTATTCACTTAGAAGGATCTGTCAGAATATATTATGAAATATGGAATACTATGTAATAAAATATTGAACATTCAGTGTAAAAGAACGTCAAAATCTGCCTTTTTTAAAAAGAATACCTCTTAGTTCATTGCATATTCAGATAGACTCGTCCGACAGAAGATGATCGATAGATGATGCTAAATCGTTTTGATAACTGTTGAGTTATAAGCAGTTTGATGTACGAACAGTCAAACAGTCCGCTAGTACGTCGTTTTGAAAAACAGTCTAGGATTATCAAATAACTCATAAATAGTTTCCAAATGATGTATGACATGACCTGCCATTCTATTTAAAAAGGTGTTCAAAGAAGATACCTAACCACCATCTCGAAATCTTTTTTCTCTGTTTTTCCGCTGAAATATCGTTTAAAAAATAAGTATGGTACGACCTTTTTAAAAAGTACTTTACCAGGATTCCAAGTATCTCAAAATAGATCTTAGAAGCAACTACATCTTCAGCTAACCTTCCTTCATAGCAAATCTTGGGTTAAGCTCGCCATTATCTAAGTTCTCTTGTATGAAAGTTGTTATTGTTAACCTATTAGAAATTTTTATATATTGCAAATATGCTTGTAGTATCTAGCAACTGCTACTATTCTAAATAAAGCCTGTCATCAAAGTTACAGGAGTTTTACCGAGCGCGTAAAAGCCCTAATCTATGACAGTAGATTATCAAAAATAAGTTCAAATCCCGATGAAAAATAGTGATAACGAATGAAGTTAAAGAGAAGCAATGCCTTCTCAGGTTGATATTGTTGTTTTCCTCCTTACGGATGAAACAATGTTGTTAACTGATTGATAATCATGCCCACTTTTCAACAGTATTGCCATATGAAATATATCTTTGAGATATTTTTACATGTGATATTGTGTAATGTCTGCTTACAGAGCTCTAACTGGGTTAGGGACAAGCGCTTCAACTGCATCTCTATCCATGTATATCGGAGAAATAGCTACACCTGAGATAAGAAGTTTCTGGGGAAACTTCCTGTCCATCTTCTTAGGCCTTGGACAATTCATGATCAACCTCATAGGTAATAAATCATTGTACAGTACATGTAACAGGCCAAGGCACCTTTTTCTAAAGGACCACCTGAGTCAAAAACTAACAATTTAAACATTTATTGTTGTATACGGCTACGATTATTTAAGTATTATTTATGTTATCAAAAATCGTATAAATCTCTTCTAAAATATGTTATTCATAATACTTGTGTTTGGAATTGTATAAAAAACCACTAAATAATTATTTTTCAATTAATCTGTCTGAAACTTTGTCACGGTTCTACAATATAAGGAACTACTGTTTCCGAATGTAATTTAACTTGACTCTTGTTTTGCTGATTCGTTAGGATACCCGTTATTTCGATTTTGGGCAGTAGTGAGATTGTAAGATTATATTTTCCTCATGCAGTGCGGCTGCCAAAATATGTCAAGCTGGACAAGCTTAGTTTAAATAATTTCAAGTTATAAAAACCTGTTGGTTAAAACATAATAGAAACACATAAAAGTAAATGCAAGAAATAGGCAGTGTTCTATATAAATTGGATTATAATAATTTTAATATACTTGCTTGTAACGTTTACATCTAGTTTTAACCACTATCAAGTTGGTTGGACCTAGTTTTAACAGAATGCAACCGGCTAATACGAGGGTTGGCCATGAATGTATAGGTTACACCTAAGACTAACCAACTGCCAGTTCTAACCGGCTCAACCTAGTTGTTACCGTATTTCGGGTTTTAGTCATAACATATGTTTATACGCAATGTGGCAATATCTTGCCTTTTATTGTAGTTCTGTTGGTTTTGTGATTTTAAACCGGTTTGAACACAAAAATGACCGACACTTTATTATAAAAAATTAACAAGGTTTTGAAATTTTGGGGTTAGTTTCACGTCAAAATAAAAGATAAGCAACCTGTCATGACTGTCTGTAGTCAGTACTGACAAATTACATCCGCAGGGTTATTACGTAAAAAAACTATATAATGTCAAGAAAACGATAAAATGTCAACTTGTTGACTAAGTACGATAGTGTACAAATAGTTCATTCCGCGCTTGCTACAAGTGAGCATGAAGTGGACGACAATTAGTTTAAAGTTGACGTTTTGTAGGAAAACCTACGTAATCTCAAAAAAACGACATAATGCCAAAAAGAAACCGACATAATGTCACTTTTCAAGCTACGTAGTTCCCCTGCTGGTCACTCTATGAGTATTGGTCATTGAATGCTGCTAAGTGTCACGTTTTGTCGTTTGCTTTAAAAACAGGGGTAATGATGTATGAATACAGTATTGGTGACAGGAAACTTGACAGACCTAGTACAATTAATGACTTGGGAGTCACATTTGATAGAAAACTTTCCTTCTCCTATCACATTGAAAATGCTGTTGTAGCTGCATCAAAGGCGTATGGTTTTATTGTAAGAAATACCGGTGATTTCCACAACTCCTTTACACTGAAAATACTGTACTATGTTTATGTAAGATCTAAGCTTGAGTATGCGTCACTGGTATGGTATCCTCATCATCAAATATATATTGACCGCTTAGAGTCCGTTCAAAGAAAGTTTTTAAAATACCTCTCATACAAAGCTGACGGGATATCCCGCTATTGGCTTTTCTCATAGTGAGTTGATGGCGAGACACAAAATCTACAATTTAGAGAGCAGACGCAAAATGAATTCACTTAAGTTTATTCACAAGCTCATCCACGGCATTATTGACTCTAATGTCATCTCAGAACAACTTAACTTCTTAATTCCTAGATTAGCGTCACGAACTAGTTTAACTTTTTACTTAGCCAGGCCTAAGACTGACATACTTAAGTTTTCCCCTATATATATAATGTACCGTAATTATTATTCAGTTAATAGCGTTTTAGATATATTTTCGTTTTGTGCGACTTTGGGAGACATTAATGCTTATTTTCGTTAATGCTTGCCGGTGTGATTGTTGAGTGCTGGGTAGGTAAAGCTAGAACGCTTTTTTTTCCTCCCATTTCTGTTTTGAGGTTTTTTTTGCAGCGTTTTAGCTTTCCCTGCATACATCCACAACATGCTTTTGTTTATATTTTCATGTTTATCCATCCTGTAATTGGCTATGGCTGTTGGATGTTGTTAAATAAATAAATAAATAAAATAAATAAATAAAAGCTTTTTTCCGTTGAAATCCTTTATTTGCTGTCACTTAGATTAATAATGAAACGGAAGACTTGACGATTCGTTACTTTTGTTGCACTAAAGACTCTCTTTCATCGCAATCTTTTTTAGGGTTCCACTTCAGCGTCAGTCAAGCTTCATACATCTGCCTAGTGCCAGCATTTCTCTTTGTTTTCACCTTTCCCTTAATGCCTGAATCGCCGTACTACCTACTCATGAAAGGAAAGGAAGATGGGGCAAAAAGGAGTTTGAAAAAACTAACCCGCAAAAAGGACATCGAAGTAGATTTCGAGCAACTGAAGACGGACGTTAACAGACAGATGTCAGATAGAGGCAACTGGGGAGATCTAGTTTTCATTTTAGCTAACAGAAAAGCTTTAACTGCTGGGATACTGATGAGATGCGCCCAAATGTTTTGTGGTGCCAGCGCTTTCCCAGCTTATACCAGGTATTTTGAGCTTTGATTGCTTTATCGTAATAATCTGTGTTAAAATGACTCTTCCGAAGAACCAACTGCTAAAAGATTGAAGTTGAGTCATTAATTTTCAGATAATGATTGTAGAAGGAAGATAAACCAAAATATGTGTGTAAAAATTAAAAAAAAATGTTACCTTGTTTTATAAAGTATCCTCCCGACAAGTATTTCAGTGTGGACCTGTATTTGATCGTGAGGTCTTGGAGCACCGGCATGCCCTCCCCTATGAGGTCTTAAGGCACCTGATTCACGAGCCCTTTGTACTACATTAACAAAGGCACGAGGGGTTGGTTGCACTCGATTGGGAAACCGATTCGCTTAAATCCATGATGCCGCGGCAGCATTTTGTAAAGACTCCAACCCCGTAAATAAGAATCATGTCCACAAGTTCAGCATTTTCGTAAACATGTGCCATTTTTTATTTCGTTTGACCCACGCAACAAACACCACTATTCAGTCACGCGTTACCGACTGACACATTGACTAACATCGTGATAAACATTTCAAATTCTTTCGCTTTTTTGTTTCCGATGCGATGAACCGATAAGGCGGATTATACCCGTTGTTGCCAAACACGAGCACATAATATTATTATTGAGACAGGGCGGTACTCAAACTTCTAAAGGGCTATAACTTTGTTAATTTAATTTTACCAGAAAAATGTTAAAGGAAAAAACAGTTCTTTTGATCAGATCTACTCACTGTTAAAATAAATGACTCAACTTCGAAGTCACTCTGTATAGACCTACAGGTATCTATTTATATACGGATATTTGCGACATCTCATCAGAAATTTAAGCATGTCACTCAATGGAGGTTAGTAAATCTCCGAAAATGCTTTCTATCTATACTTGGTATTGATTGCTTAGTATTAATAAGTTAACAAAATATATCTTCCATGAGAAAAATTATTTGTATTAGGTCATTTTTAGTAAAACTACAATATGGTAACGAAGCCGTAACAATGGACAATATCACATACGTAGTTATCGTATAACTTGCGTAAGCGCTTCATTCATCATTCGAATGTGAGTTTTCGTGTTGATGGAGCAACTTGTCATTCCGCTACGACTTATTTTTGATTTCATGAACAAATCAAGAGGTCTATATTTTTAGTTGTCGGTGATTTGTACAATTTGAGATTTGCATTTTCAGGTATATTTTCGAAAAAGCTGTAGGTGACTCCGAAACATCCACCCTAGTCTTCAGTGGAGTCATGGTGATAATGACATTACTAGCAGGTTTCACGATTGACCGCCTTGGAAGAAAGAAATCATTTGTTATATCCATGTGTTTGAGCATCGTATGCCTTCTATTCCTTTCAATATTCTACTATATAGAGGAATTTCAACCACAAGTGGATATATCTAATCTACTCTGGATGCCAGTGGCTGGAATGGTAGCTTATATGACATTTTCATCTTTCGGAGTAGTTAACGTACCGACGATTATGCTTGGAGAGCTTTTTTCTGCTTCCATCAAAGCTAAAGGTCTCACAGTATTGTTGTGCGTCATGGGTCTGATGATATCACTGACCAATTACTTGTTCTTCTGGTTGAACGTCTCTTATGGTATGTTTTGCCCTTTTCTAGTTTTTGCTATAGTTAGTACTGTTTTGACTGTGCTTTGTTTTTATATGATACCAGAAACTAAATGTAAAACTTTGGAAGAAATACAGCAGATACTAGGTGGAAATGTACAATGTAAATAAAGATTTGAACGATTTTGATGTTTCTTTATTTAATCTAATATAGATAATGATACAATAAAATCTCTACCTCTGTATCATGGACGTTTAATACTTCATATATGGTCTTAGGAAGTGTAGTGGCGCTTATTAAAAAACCAAGAAGTGGTTTAGAATTGATAGTTTATTCAATTATTCAATGAATTCATTGGAGCATAGAACGTTTAAGACTAGTAAACCGATGTAATTATTCTAAAGTCAATTCCTCGTGGAAATCAAATTACGATAACACTGCGGTACAATTACTTACTTTTCATTCCTATACATCAGGCCCTTTACTTATAACGCGATCAAGTTGTATATTTCTGTACCAGTAACTATAAAACCTTGAGTTAGTAGCTTCAAGAAGACATTTAAATAGCACTTGCTGGGATCTGCACATTGAGTGACAAATTCAGCTTGCAAAATGACAACTTCTTTCTGATGCGTTCGTTTTATTGTTTCTATTCTTAGTCCAATGTTATCAATGTGTTATTCAATATTCATAACATTTTCAATGTACTTCTTAATGTTATGTGGTTATGTTCTTATCCTGATATTTTGAGATGTCCGGTGGTACAGTAGCTATGGGTAAACTTCACCATACTATGATCAGTTTCTGAATACAGACACTTATTATTATTAACTGATTGAAGATGTCATAGTATAAGTTGTAAGCGAATCTCATATTAGTGTATTCCTGGCGATAGACCTAGCCTATAGTAGTTACCTTGTCGATTTTCCAACCGTTCAACATTGTGTAGTAAAATCGGCAAGACGAAAACGTGAAAATCATGCTAAAATTTCCCGTTATCACGTCAAGAAAGTACAAGAAAAATGAAGATAAATATGTTAGGCTAGACTTAGACTGTCAACATACTTGACATTGATGCTTCTTTGAACTTATAGCAGAAAGGTGAGAGCATGTGATTTTACCGGATTACTCAGATAATACGATCATATTCAAATGAACTGTTCAAACAATGTAATCTAAATAGGTATTGTTTTTATTTGAGAAAATGAAAACTGTAAGATCTATGTTCTTAACGCTGCAGTAAAGATGCAAGCATTGCTGAGAAATGTGCGAACAATGGAGATGTACAAGAAGATAAGGGCAAAGAATGGCCACAAATTGTTGCTATTCTCCTAGGTGAGCTTGAGACGACATTGTGTTAACAATATTCTTGAACTTGGGTAATCATAAGACAATTTAAAGAAGTCCATATCCGGACCGAAAAAATACACTTCGAGAATAGTGTGATTTTCTGTAACGCTTATTCAACCCATTACTCAATCTTAGGGCCAATAAATCATGTATAATTTGCTTCTCGATTTGATGCTACTCCCGTTGGGCAATGTTCTGACTTGGAATCATTCTAGGATCTCAAGCAATAAAGATCTGAAGCTTTAGTTATGATTGACGTGCTTAGAAACTTTTAATGACATGGTGATACTGTTGAGTAGATCTCCGCTCTGTATGAACACCACTAATTCAACCAATTTTACTCGTACATGACAGGTTCATAAATTGTTTAACTCATACATTTAGAGGTACGCCTTTTCAGCTTTGCCGGATGGCTTACAGAGGGTTACAAAAACTTTTCAAGAAAACTGAAGGGCAGATCAAGCATGTTTGAATATAAGGAGATAGTTTATTAACCCTTTAGATCATACTAGATAATGAAATAATTGAATGAACAACTTTGATAGTACACCTTACATTTCTCAAAAACTGAGATGGCTTTTGGTACACACAAATGTGTTACTATTGTTATTAAACGCCACATTGGTACATTTTAACGCTCTTACGTCAGTCCATTCTGGCAGGTCTCTGTAGTTACAGTCCACCACTAGCTTTTACATACATGGTTTCAGTAGTAACTTAACGCGTGATTCTACTCTCAAATATATCAATACTTTTATCACATATTAAAAAATCCTTCGCTTATCTTTTAAAGAACGTGAAGAAAACTTGAGAAGAATCAATATGACTACGAGAAAGCGGTACCAAAAATCACTGGCGCAGCATTTTCCGATAAGCATGAAGTTTAACTCGCCTCCCCGTATCATGAAAATGAGAAATTTCTGAAATCCATAATCAAATGAACTTTAGTTCATACTTTTATATTCTGAATTAGCTCTCAAATTCTGACATTCATAAAAGACTTTCATATACCCTCAACATATTTCATAAATTATGTGTCTCATAAATCTGAGGAAATTACGCCTTTTCACTTTTGGCCGGCGGTATATCCATTGCATGTTGTTCCAGTTAGTTTTAATGGCCTGAAGCTAGTTGCACAATATACCCGAGTAACCAAAAGAAAGATTGATTCTCGTTAGAGCGCGGTTATTTATTTTCTGGGTGGTTTGCAGTTAGCCGCAATATTTCAAGTGCATCGTAAACTTTGTATGACTTACAGACTGCGGAAAAATATAACGAGTTCATTTTTGGGATGAATGATCTTTCCGATATACAATTAAATTACCATACGCTTCATTGGAAAGTTCCAGGAGCAAATTGGAAGGCTAACCAGGGTCAAGCTTGATTTATATGTAGATAATGACACAGAGATCCAATAATAAATGGCTCAAAATTGTTGTTGTCCGATATTTGATAGGACAGGCCGTTAGACATTTTCAAGTAAAGTAAAGTGCCTCACAGCGTCTTATTGCAATGAACAATACTGCCAAAATTCAACCAAATTTTTGTAAAGATCTGACACCCTGCACGTTGAAAAACATGATGCTAGTTGAAGGCAAACTAACAATATATTATTTTTTCGAAATAACTTAGTAAATGACAATGTATGACATATTATGTAAGACACCTTGTACATGAGAAAAAGTGGCAATGTTAATGTGCAATTTATTTTGAGATACCACCTCGAGTAACGTCAGGAAAAAATTAAAACGATTTTCGGAAACGATACAACTTTGCCCCTCTTTAGCCGGTACACGCGGTATGTATAATATGTATTTTTACTAGGCTGCCTCATGGCTCTACAGTACGGTCTCCACTTTGCTTGGACATCTCCATTCTTCGTGCAGTTAACAAAAGACAAAGAAAACTATAACATCACCGAAGATCAAGCATCACTATTCACAACATTACCTCCAATGTTCCATATACTGTCTTGTCCTTTGTGCTCCTGGATGTGCAATGCAGTAGGGCGGAAGAATACTCTCCTTGCCAGTGCTGTACCTAACAGCTTAGCTTGGATTTTAGAGGCATATGCTACAGACGTGTATACATTTTATTTAGCTAGGTAGGTACAGTCTTAAAATATACTCAGTGGCGAATAAAATAGAACACCCAGTATATTAACCTTGTCCCGATAGCTAATACATATGGATTAAAAATTTAAGAGTTGCTTGTTCATGTGGGTATTCGACCAAAACGCCCGTCTCGTGTGGTTTCTGCAGAGAGAGAAAGAAAGGAATATAGGGAAATCTAAACGCTTTTTAATATCCGGTTGACCTAAAGTTAAGACCAGATCACATTGGTCTTTTTACAACATCCTATCGTTGTTGTCGATAATCCGCCATTCTTCATCTGCCGACGCGCACCCGGAACGCGTTCAGCAGGTGACCATCTAACGCGCTAAATTTAAATATCCTAATATAATAATAAAAATCATCACAATGCCTTACGCATTCGTTCACTTATCGGTCGCTGCTCCTGATAAGATGACTTGCCTTCTTGAGGTATTTCATCTCAAGCTAGCTGTATTTTTTTTAATTGGCCCGTTAGCCAGAAACTAATTATATAAACCTATTTAACAATAATAATTTTCTCATCTGCAGATACCTGCTACACAGATTTATACAAGACTCATACTGACCGAATAGCCATAGACAAAAATAACTGAGGTAAAACGAGGTAAGGTAGGTCAACAGGGGACACTCCTGTTTCGCCTAGAGATCCGACAAGGCATTTAATGACAAACAAGACTAGGTCGCAGACAGCAAGAGACTTGAACAGAGGAAACATAGGATTAATTTGCTTACAATATTGTCTAAATCCATATGCCAGAATTTTTAATGGATTTTATTAGTCTTTTCAAGAATTATAAAACAATTAGTACGTTTTTTCTATTATCAACTGTCGCTGTAAAGGGCTTCGCAATGCGTCCTTATCCTTTAAACAAACAAAGAATATTCAAGTCACCTTTTACGTAGCAGATAGATCTCACTAAATCAAATGTACTCTAGCTAAGAGGAAAAGGAATGAAAAATGGCCAATTTTTGCGCGGATGATGATGGAACTGTACTTTGTAGAGTTTGTGATACAATATTGATGTCATTCTGCTTCCCATTCCCTGAGCCTATTAACTGTGGTAAAGCTCTCTTGGAGGCTTCTGTTGTATTTGGTTCCTAAAAGCTGTTAGCTTATGTAGATGATGAGGTAAAGAGGTCACTTTCCTTCCTTTCATATCCCGCACATGTTCAATGAGGGAAATGGCTCAAGATCTAGGAGGTCAAGGAAGAAGGCTGACTTGGTCGTTATCGACGTAGTCTATAGTAGCTCAAGCAACATGGGCAGTATTTTGTAAATCTCTCACTTGAACAGCACTTGGATCATAATGTAGACGTCATGGTTTGAGGTTCCACGATATATGGTGCTAAGTCACCTCTAGCTTCCGTTAAAGTAAGTATGACAGCGAAATGTTATATCCAGGGGATACTTATACCTCATGATTTACCACTGCTTCAAACGCTTAAGAACTCTTTTTTCAACACGATAATGACTGTCCCTCTATTATTAGAACTATAGTAAACTACCTCAAAAACGGTCAAGCCAACCTCCTTCCTTGGCCTCCCAGATCCCCAGACCATTCGCCAATTGATCATTTTTGAGATATGATGGGAAGAAGAGCGACCAATTGAACATTTGTGAGATGTGATGGGAAGAAGTGTGAACATTAGCAGCTCTTTCGAGTCAAGTACAGCTAGCTTTGGATGATACACGTCAAGAAGGTATACACTGTCTAATCAAAAGGAAGACTTGATGAATGTATACGGCCCATAACATTTTTAGAAAAATCCAGGGATACCGAAGATTTTTTCACTTCAAGATTCAATCACGACTTCCTCGTGTTTATTTGTATAAGAATTCCATTCAAACAAATTATTTTTACAGTGTGTTCCAGTTTATTTGTCATTCAGTATATTTTATTTAAGTTAAGTATAGTTGCTTTGGAATCATGGCAATTATGATATTTAAAGGATAAAGTTTGCACCATATTGTTGTAGAAGGGAAAAATAAGCAATTAGAGTTGATGAGGTTTTAAAGTCTGATGAGGTAAAGTAAGAGTGAATTCTTTCCAAAATTTACATAATTTTATATAAGGATTCGTAGTCAGACATATTTTCTTCAATTTCTTTCTATTTGCAGGTGTCTCACAGGTTTAGGTTCATGTGCCGTGTTTGCATCTTTATCTATGTATATAGGAGAAATCGCTACACCCAAAGTAAGAGGCTTCTGGGGAAATTTCATGTCAATCTTCACAGCCATTGGACAATTCTTTATCAATTTAATAGGTAATAGTTTGAATGCCAAATCAACAATGCTTTTTTTCACTCATATTCATTCTACTCAACGGCCTTATGTCATGTTGTCATGGTCATGAATTTACATGGCCGGCAAACAATAAAGATACCAGAGCGTGCACAAGTTGACTCAGATACAGATTGCGTTGGTACAGGACCGACCCACTTGACGCTATTTTTTATATCTTTTAGTTTTTACAATCGGTAATATCTGCTTCTAGGCATCTATTGCAACACACGTCTAACCTCCTACATCTGCCTGGTCCCATCGATTCTATTCATAATTACCTTCCCCTTCGTTCCCGAATCTCCCTATTATCTGCTAATGAAAGGGAAAGAAGAGGCTGCAAGGCGGAGCCTGGGAAGGCTGCTTCGCAAAAGGGACGTCGCAGCGGATTTCGAGCAACTGAAAGCCGACGTCAAGAGGCAGATGTCAGAGACAGGAACTTGGAGGGATTTGGTGTGCATTGCTGCCAACCGAAAGGCGCTAATCGCCGGGGTGTTGATGAGATGCGCGCAACAGTTCTGTGCAACCGGAGCTCTCGGATCTTACACAAGGTATAACTTCAGCCGAAATTAAAAAAATAATGTACAGATCATGTTAAAAAATCTTCACACTATATTTTCAACTTGAGGATAAAGTACAATAGAATAAATGTATGTTTTCTACTAAAACATTTTTGAATCTAATAGTTGTTTGTACTTTCAGTTCCACCTAAAATCGGAGAATCGTTAAGACTGATTTGGAATCGATTATAAACTGATTCGACACACAGAAAAGTGTAGGTTCAAAATAAAACCGCCATTCGGTCTTAGAAAAAATTCATTCTAAAGATTATTTTCACCACGTATGATAATTCAAGAAAATGATGTAACGTCTGGAAACCCAGCAAATTACAGCCGCGCTCCTTGCGTTCCCGCAATGTCGCATGCTTATGGGCCGCACTCTTTCTAACATACGTGTTGCATGGTGTGCACGCTTCTGTCTCTATCTCTCTCTCATTCACAGTGAAGGCGGCGCCCACAAGAGTAAATGAATTTCTCTGTATAGAGATATACTCAAAAAATAGGGGAATGGAGGGGTCAAGTTATGTTGACCATCCTATTCTTGACAATGCAGTATTTATTATTAGTGTCATAGATCGCACAGTAAGCTATATATCCCCATGAATGTAGCCACTCAAGCTTTGGAAATAATAAAATAACTAGGCAGTGAGTGCCAGTTTAGAGGAGCATATTGAGAATATTATTTGCAAAACCAAACCATAAAAGCCATACATCTACAACTTGATAATGTTGTATCATCTATGAAGTACCTATCTATAATTTGTACTAATCCATATTTTAGCATACAATCTTGCATCCCAAATAAAGTTTGATTTCTCTTTCAGGTACATTTTCGAAGAATCTGGGGGTGACGCTGAATCTTCAACGCTGATCTACAGTGGTGCAAGCGTCATAATGACAGTTATCGCTGGATTCACGATCCATCATTTTGGGCGGAAGAAATCTTTCGTGGTATCAATGTTCTTATGCATTGCATGCATTCTGGCTCTCTCAATTTTCTACTACATCAAAGAATTACAACCCCAGGTGGATATATCAAGATGGCTATGGACACCATTGCTGGGCGTGACCGCTTTCACAATATTCTCCTCCTTTGGTGTGCTTGTTATACCAACGTTAATGCTTGGAGAGCTTTTTTCTGCGTCTATTAAAGCTAAAGGGTTAACTGTACTACTTAGCGTTATGGGTTTGACGATATCGTTGTCTAATTACATTTTTTACTGGTTGACCGTCAGTTACGGCATGTATTGTCCTTTTCTTGTCTTTTCTATAATCAGTGTATTTTTGACTATACTTTGTATATACATCATACCAGAAACTAAGGGTAAGACCTTGGAAGAGATACAGCAGATATTAAGTGGAAATGTGCGAGAATAAAAGCTTTAACTATGGTTTTTTCAGTAAATAAACGTCTCACTGAATCCCCTGACCTTGATCATCCATCATCTTTCCGATCTCAGATAAACAGAATTTCTTATTAATAACTTTTTTAAAACATCAGAACTTTTTTCTATATACTGTTTCATGGAAATTATTACGGATATAAGAAACGTAATAGCTATTTATGTATCGAGGACGTTAAATGGGCGATTAAAGCCCGCAGGGCAAAATTAGACACGCCCTGGACATAAGCCATTAATACGACCAAAATTCGTATAAAATGTTATCTACGACCAGCTGAAAAAATTACAGTAGCCTTCAAGTACAGTCAGAAATAAAAATAGGCTGAAATATTTTAACACTAGTAGTTGTACCATCACCGACCAATGAATGTAGCTCAGTTCCCACGGCTGCCATATTGTATACAACGATAGGCAAATTTATACACAGCAGACGGTAAAGTCTCTTTATAGTCCCAGAGCATAAAGGAGTTCCTAGCCTGCCCGAAGAACCTATCCATAAAGTATAGTTTTCCGCGATCAAGAATTTTTAAATCCTGAAATGAATAACGTCAAGAACGACATGTTGATGTAGAAAAAGTTTCGGCCTTGCTAAGCAAATTAATAATCTCCAAAAACACTAAATGCCTTGAAATAAAATAAAAATATATTTCTCATTCAGCGTTGTATGTATGCTGAATCAAGTACGAAGGTAAAGCATAAACATCGGAGTTTGGTACAACAAAGATCTAAAAGCCTTAAGCATTCTGCTACCATTATAGGTATTTAATGAATATACGTATAGAATCGCGGACATTATCTGAATTGTTTCTATATTCATCTCTATTTGAAAAATAAACAATTCTTTGTAGGTTTTCGCTATTTAGTACATAGGTAACAAAAAAGAAAATAAGGCAAGTTATCTCCTTGCCCGGACAAACGGTTCATAGCTTAATTTTTTACGTCGCATCCGCACGTTGAGATCAACTTAGGCAAACACCAATGTATGGACGCTAAAACAATCATCAGTATTCTCAAATGCTGAACATTCATGATACGTTGATAGCATATATTGCAGCGAATCGAATAATGCAAAACTTAAATGAGGTTTTATTGCTTTTCCCATGATTTATTTTCATATTTATATATCATATACAGCATATAAATGACAATAAAGGTAAGGGTACGGATGTAGTGTATCTATCCACTGTTTACGTTTTACCCGAAACCACTTACTTTGGAACTATCTTTTCTATTAAAACTATCGATTCAATCCATCTGATTTCTATGACTAGCAAATACCTTCAAACATAGGTTTGATAATGGTATAAAACTGAAATTACGAGCACAATATTAATACTACACGATTACTAAAGGAAGCTGGACGAATATGTTTACACCTGTATGTTATAATGAAACCCATTTATACCTATAACGGATTTTCTCCAGTTGAAACTAGTTTCTCCTATGTACCTATGTTATAACCAGAATTTCCTAGTTATAACTAGAATCTACACTTTACATGTATTTAAATTTTAGATAAAACTAGTAAGTAACTTGAGAAACAACTTAATAAAAATAAACAAAGAATGCAAAATATGATAAGCTTGCCTACTTGTTACTGCAAAACAAACTATCGTGGCATATTGAGTTAAAAAAGGGTGCCTTTGTACTTGCAAGGACACGGCTTTCAATCTTGGGCGAAACAGACTTAATCACTTTGACAAAGTTAGTTGGAACTAATAATATTCATTTTTAGGTAGCAGTTAATTCTAGTTGTAACAAATACATTTAGTGAAAACTAGTTCCGACTAGGGAAGGCACCTTATTATTAAGAACGTGTTTTAACTGTAACATATAGAATTGATTGCAATGCGAGACTCATGCTTTTTATGTAATTGGAAATATTTATTTTGCCGGGAGTGTTCGATTGGCTTAGGTTTCCCCAATTTTGAACAGATTGAAATCATGAGGTTGCCGTAACGGAATCGAAAGTCAGAAGGCCCGAAAGACAGTTTGTTCTGGGTCCATATCAATCTTTCAAAAATGTTTATTTTCTTCTTTAGAGATGCTACAAAAATATTAAAAGAACTATAATATCATTAAAATAGTTATAAAAAACTACTTACACCGTTGAAATCCTGTTTTAGGACCAATCTCAAAAACGGAGAAAAACATAAGAAAAGATGAAAACTTTACAGGTCACAATATGGGAAACTGATCATTGCTAAAATTCCATAGTGAAGTTTTTAATAACTTATTTAAGTAAAATCCATACTAATCGATGGAGAAATTATTAAAATCAAACATGGCGCTTATTTCAGCCAGCAGGAAAGCATTTTACAATTTCGTATACTCGTAAAAGTCAAGAGAGGCCATGACCTTATAGGCTAAGTTGTGGTTACCATTTTGTCCAATGTTTTCTGCGTTTTTGAGGTTGCTTGTCCTGGAATAGGATCTCGACGTTGTAAGTATTTTTTTGTTAATATTGTAATGAATACTGTTCATTCAATATTTTAGTAGCGTTCAGTAGAAGAAAATAAACCTCTTCGAAAGCTTGATATGGACACAGAACAAACCTTCTTTCTGACCTTGTGATTTTCATTTGCGTTACGGCTGACCGCAAGATTTTTATTTTACGCGTTAACTAGCCAGCCAAGACTAAGGCCCGTATCGTCAGTCGTCCCTACAATTGTAGGGCGCCTTTATGGCCTCCTTGATTGTCATAGTTTTCTACTTCTCCGTGTCAGAACTCTATTTTGAGGTTATGTCACAAACATCTATTTGCATCAAATTGTGCTTGCTTTTGAGTTATATCATGTTTTATCAGCCCGAAGTTTCCTACAATTTAACAAGAAAACATATCTTCACAATAGGAGAGCGCTGACGCTGACACGGGACAAGTGTAATCTAGAAATTTTTGAAGGGGGGAAAGGGGTATTACAATCAAGGAGGCCATAAACGCGCCCTACAATTGTAGGGACGACTGACGATACGGGCCTAACCCACTTCCTCTGTCTACAATCTATATCTATACAACAAATCTCAGGAAATGGACTTAGTATATAAAGTAAATAAATAGTTACTGAAGTATATCAAAACCAGCGTCTTTTACCATAGGTGATATCCTGAAAATTGACAGCGGTGAAAAAACAATAATTTTCTTGCTATTTGCGAAAGGGGATATTCTCGAAGCAATTTCCTTCGAAGATTTTTTCCGATACTCGTCACCCAAAGAAAAACATTTCCCGCATCTTGGGCCGTCGAGTAAAGTAAACATCATTAATAAAAGCAATTTACTGGCGTGTCGTTCCCTTTGGAGTTTCTTTAAATTGTCGAAAAAGAAAGGCGCAACTTCCACCGACTAGATCCAAACTTTTCACACAGAAAACTTTCAAATTCAATATTCATGATCCCATGCGAAGCGAAAAGGGTTGTCAGAGATTTATTTCATCCCCAATAGGTAGGAGAGCAGATTAATAGATTTTTTTGTACTACATCTGGATTTTGCAGGAATTTAGACTGCAATTAACTAAGCTTCCCATTTAGTGCTAAAATTGGACTTACTGGATTTAACTACCAGAAGGTATGCTTTCAATGCATTTTCAGTTTTTTCGCTTATCACACAGACGAGGGAGGGCAATTAAAAACAAAGATATCTAAAATTTCAGTTCTCGTTTGGATTTCGTAGCAAACGGACGTGCTGATAAGCGAATCGACGAGTACGAGTACGAGTACAAATAATATAATCATAATAATAAAAAAGTGTTCCATAACAAAAGCTGTAAAAACGTGAAACAAAATAAGTGTCGTTAGTTAGCAGTGCAAGAGCTGGTGGCACCGGTTATGCAGGTGGTCTAAAACATTTCATCAACAATGTCTCATAGCCAGGATGTGTCAGTAATAGAGCATAATCAAATACTAAGAATGTCATCAACAAGTGAAGAAGAATTAGAGGACTCACAACAAAATAGAAATAACCCGTGGCAAGTGATGAGAAGCGTTAAAAGGAGGAAAGTTGCCAAAGAGCAGAACAAAGAAACAACGGAAACTGTAACTGTAAACAACAGATTTGATATCCTAGCAGACAAAACAGATGATAATGTCGGTAATAACACTCAACGAATTCCAAAGCCACCCCCAATCTTTGTTCATGGAGTGATCAACTACGAGGAAATGGTCAACACCATTAGAGACATATTAGAAGACGAGCAATATATCACGAAGAGCCTCGCAAACAACGTTGTGAAAATAAACTGCGCAACCCCAGAATCATACCGTAAGCTCATCAGAAACTTCAAAGAAAATAGTATCTTTCACCATACCTACCAACTGAAAGAAGAGCGATCATACAGGGTAGTGATAAGGTATCTACATCACTCTACAAAAATCGATGATATAAAAGAGGAGCTGGGAAAACTGGGTCACAAAGTTCGCAGCATAATAAATGTTCTTCATAGGACTACCAAAGAACCACTAAACTTATTCTTTGTAGATCTTGAGCCAGCCGAAAATAATAAAGATATATATAACATCAGAGGATTACAGAATAAAACTATTCAAATAGAGCCACCCAGACCTAGAAAGAACAATATCATCCAGTGTATGAGGTGCCAACAATTTGGACATACTAAAACATACTGCAACAAACCATACTTATGTGTGAAATGTGGTGGTCCCCATAATACTAAGGACTGCAAGAAGCCGAAAGATGCGCCAGCAAAATGTGCCCTTTGTGGTGGCAGTCATACTGCAAACTATAGAGGCTGCGAACACTACCACAGAACATTGAAAAATAAAAATCCCACCTTCCAAACCCCCCTACCACCTATAACTAGTGAACCAGCTTATGTTAACAATGTTGAGCCCGCCACTAACCGCCAATACTCAAGAACGTATGCAGATGCAGTAGCCAACAACACTGAAAACTCGGTAAGTCTAACTTCTACAATGAATAAATTCCTAGATGAATTTAAAAATATGTTCAACCATCTCCTACAACAAAACAGTCTGATTCTCAATATGATTGCCACGCTAATCAACAAAATCAATTAAAATGGCCAATTTTCTAAGAATTGCCCAGTG